CATTCCTGGCTTTAATTTCAGGAGAAGCACATAATAATAACATCTAAAAAGCAGAGAGGAAAAATAGTACTTATGGTGGTCATCTGTAAAGCTTAAAAACATTTACACAAAAACATGTGAGAGACTAAAGAAGAGCAGAAACTGGAGCAATCACTTTGTGAGTCAAAGCCCATTCCAGCCCTTACTGGGCATCCAAGGAGAGAGACTTTCTCAGAATCCAGAAGGAGCCTTTACTTCCTCCAGGCCCAAAAGACAGGCACTTATCCTGAGTTCTGACTTGTATTTCCGTGATTGATACATGAACACAATAAACAGAAGTGCAAACGCTTGGGGTGGAAAGATTGGGCCACAGTTCTGAAAACAGGCAATGGAAGTTATTCCCTCCTCCCTGTCTGTCCCCACAAATCCTGTCTCCATAGGGCACTAACTTTTGGCAGAAGCAATGTTCTGGAGAAGGATCTAAAGTTACAAGCTATAGCATTTTGGAAATGGCGTTTCAGGCAGGCCTGCCATTCTCTTCTACTGGCTTCAGATCTGAAAGGAAACTCTCAGCCCAATGGCCACGTGTACTCAGAAGTAGTGACAAGGAAAAAAAAAAAAACAAGTCCTGAACTTACCACATACTCATCATCATAGCCATCTTCTTCTGGCATGCCTGTGTTCGGGTCACAGTCTCGAACAGTGAACTTCATTGTGCAACTGAAAGTACAAGCAACTGCAGAGGAGAGAAAAAGTCAGCAGAGGTTAGTGGTGCAGTTTCTTCTGCTTGAGCCCTCACTTCCCCAAAAGAGACCAAAACGAACGTACATTAGCTTTGCTCCAGAAGATACAGACATGGCTGCAGTCAGAGCACTTTGCAACTTCATATAAAATTTACCCCCAGACTTTAAGATAAAGGCCAAAGGAGGATTGCAGAAGAGGATATGCCAGGGCCACAGTGTAACAAGCTCAGGCCCACTGACTCGCAGAGTGCTGCAGTGAGATCCAGTCAGCATTAGCTACCAGGAGAAACTCTGCAAGTGTTTCTGACAAGTGGATTACGATCCAAAACCACAGTTCAGGCAATTCAGAGTAGTTCTAATCTTCCCTGGTATTAAAGCAATAACCAAGAAATCCACTCTGCTGATGAGCTGAGTCATGTTAAACCAACTGAAATCCAATGGAGTTTAAGTGTGAATAATAAAAGTAAGAAAGTTCTATGCCCAAGAAAATCTCTTGTTCCTACATTTCACAGTTGCTTCTAATTCTCTAAAGAGAAAAAAATTGCATCAGTCACCTATGTAGAGGCCCAAACTACTAATATTTTTTTTTTCTATTTGCATTTTGCTTTTACTGATTCTATTCTTGAATACTACCAACAAACATCCGTGTTTTCAAATGTGCTCCTTTCATTGATTCAAGGTAGTAAATTCAGTTTCCTCTATTGCCTGCATGCTCTCCAGTCCTCTTTAACATCCCATTTTTATTCACCCAATACCACTGATTATTTAAAAAGCATGTATACTATTTTGCAAAAAGTGTACGTACTATTTTGCACAAACACAGGTTCTACATAAAAACCAGCAGGAGACACATGAGAAGGGAATAGTACTAGAATCTCAGTATGCGCTCCCCAAATCCCACACTCTAAACATTTTATTTATTATGTGTTCTCCAAAAACCTCATTTGAGGGATTTGTCGTGCAGAACTACTCCCTCCCAGCGGGTACCTGCAGTGGGATCATCCTGGGGAATCTGGACAAGCGTGTAACACATGCCCGGCTGGTTGTAAGCCAGGCTGGGCGCTGGGATGCAACAGATCACATCGTAAGCGTCCGACGGCTCCATCTGCACAGTGACTCTCTCTAACAGCTGATCATTTAACGTGTTTGTGCAATCAAACTGCAAAAGAATAAATTGAAAAGGACTTGAACATAGAAGAAACATTTCTAATCAAGAATTTTTCCCCAAATTAGCTATAATACTCCACGGTACACAGCAGACATCCCACATCTTTGATCAGGCCTGCCGTTCCCACTAAATCAGCTCTTCTCTCCAATTTTACTAGAATTCTATAACAGATAGGCTCATAACCCCCATCCTGTTTTAATCACTCAGGCAAGCAGCACACACCCTCTTAATTCTACGTTGCCACTCCCTTAAGAGAGAAGCTGTCCTCTCCAGGGCACAGCAACAACACTGTTTATGCTACACCCAGGCATTGTTAAGGGCCAACTCCTATTGCACTCTGGCAAAAGCGTGTAACTTCTCTTACCTGGAAAACGATGTGATTTGTGAACACGTGTTTAATACAACGAACAAAATACTCTGTTTCTGCTTCTGTGAGCTGCACTGGTTCCGAAGACTTGAACAATGGACCCAAGCTCTTAAACTCTGGAATGGCTGCCAGTTGTTCTGCACAGAAAGGAAAAGAAGATGACAGACACTTAGTGACAGGGTCGTTCTTTGCTCCTGCCTGACCTGCGGCAATCCTTCAGGCGCTGGAGACCCACTGATCTTCTCTCATACCTTGAAATATATCCTGACGTGAAGGAGCAACTTTCTCAGGCTTGCTGGTCACTAGGGCAATCTCTGCGAAGAAAAAAGCAAAGACACTGTGCTGTCAACTACACCATGTCAGCTACAATGCATTATATCTCCACCAAAAACTCCTTAACCTGTAGTGTTTCACACATTCTGCTGCAAACCATTGCCAGCCCGGTTCCTCACACACTCATTGCCCTATCTTTTCTGTGATGCAATACTGGATTGTAAGGAGAGAAGTGGAGAAATGTTTGAGTAATGATGTAGAAACAACACTTTCTTCCAGCTTTTTTTGCTGGCTGTTCTGGACTAAGGAGGAGAAGAGGGGAAAAATACCCCCAAAGCTTCTCTTAAAAAGTTGTGGAAAGTCAAAATGAAAGAATTGTGCAAGAACATGGAAGAAAGCCGGTGAAGTGACTAAGTGCTTCTGGAATGGACTTTTCTCAAACATCTATGAGCTAATAAATTCTGATTATGTTCAAACTCCTCTCTGATAACAAGACTGGCAGAATGAATAATGAGATTCTTGCCAACCCATATTCCTTCAGAAGAAGTGCCGTCTTCCCTTATCTGTGAAGATTAGGCAGGCTTGCTTCTGCAAAGCCAGTGACACTGTAAACTGTACGGCATTCAGCTGAGGCACATCCAGTCTTGGCCTGACCTACTAGAATGGCAGCCAGTTGACAGACGTCAAGTATCATTATGGCAACCTGAATCCTTATAGCCTGGCCTACAGCCAATTTAAGTGAAGCCCAAGTGTTACCCGCTTTCTGTTCAAAGATGGGTGCAGTAGCCAGTGGAACTGTTTTCATATCAAAAGGTTTGTCAGAAGGCTCCAGTGTATATTGGTGCAGGGCCTTCTCCATCCCAGGAACAGAGACAGTCAACCCTGCAAAGCAGAAGCACAGGCAGAGAAATTCAGTTTTCATAGCAGGAACTGTCAGAGGCCTACAGGCACTACGGTATAGGGTTCACAAATGAATGGTGTGAATTTTGGATTGCCCACTGCACCAAAAGCAGTAAAACGCCAGAGCCTGAAAAAACCCCAACACCTTATCTGCGCCTCAGTCATCTCCCTCTTGAGACATAAACAAGGAATATTATTTAAAGAGCTCTTCTCTGTAGCCTGCCCATTGGTTCAGTCTGCAGAGAAAAAAAATCTTGTGAGGAATCTCGACTTTACTGCTAGATAGATTTGGTTTGGGCTTTGGCTAATAAAAAGCTGGTAAAAGCACTTTCATTTCTCAGTAAACACAAATACACACGCTAAGTACTTCAAGATATTGGATAGAATAAAAAAAAAAAAATCTCTGAAGATGACACAGAAAGTTGCCATACCACAGTCTAAACAGTTCACTCAAGAAAAGTCCTCTTGCAACAGCCTTAAATATGTTAAATACGCTGCTTACATGAGCTTCCAACTACCATAGAATCATAGAATGGTTTGGGTTGGAAGGGACCTTAAAGCCCATCTACTTCCAACTCCTGCCCTGGGCAGGGACACCTTCCACCAGACCAGGTTGCTCAAAGCCCCATCCAACCTGGCCTTGAACACTTCCAGGGATGGGGCAGCCACAGCTTCTCTGGGCAACCTCTGCCATGGCCTCACCACCCTCACCGGGAAGAGTTTCTTCCTAATATCTCATCTAAATCTTCCCTCTTCCAGTTTAAAGCCATTGCCCCTTGTCCTGTCACTCCCTGCCCTTGTCAAAAGTCCCTCCCCAGCTTTCTTGTCGGCCCCTTTAGGTACTGGAAGGCTGCTGTGAGGTCTGCCTGGAGCCTTCTCTTCTCCAGGCTGAACAACCCCAACTCTCTCAGCCTGTCCTCACAGCAGAGGTGCTCCAGCCCTCAGATCATCTCCGTGGCCTCCTCTGGACTTGCTCCAACAGGTCCATGTCCTTCTTGTGCTGAGGACCCCAGAGCTGAAGGCAGTACTGCAGGGGGGTCTCATCAGAGCAGAGTAGAAGGGCAGAATCCCCTCCTTTGACCTGCTGGTCACAACTACAGACTATAAAACATTTTTATAATCACTGCTGGCAACAAGATGTGTTATCCTCATTTTGTAACAGAGAAGATGGAGCAAAGGTTAAGAAAATTGTCCCAAGTGAAGGAAGAGGCAACGATGAAAAAAGCCCTACCCATACTGCCGCTCCATTTCCTGGACAAGCCTTCCCATATTTTGCTAAATCTGCCATTCTCGGTTAGCACAAGTACCTCACAGGGAAGTGCCAGGGCCAGAAAAACCACACAGTTCTGTTCCTCCTAATAATTCTGACCTAAGTTACATTACAGAAAACTATTCTTACAGGAACAAAGCCCACCCATAATACAGAATGTGAAATAACAGCTCATTCTTCTTTCCTTTCTATCACTGACCGTTAAAAATATAGGCAGCATTCAGTGCTATCTGTCTCTGTTGTAGTACATTCAAGTAGAACGTTGCTCTGTCCCGAACTTCGTCATCACTGTCCATCATGCACCTGTTTCGGGAAACAAGAGGATGGCAGTCAGCCAGCTCAGGACATCACGAGAGGTGAGTTAAAAATGGCGCTGACAAGATTGGACTTGATACTGCAATGACAGCCTGAACTCCCTCAATAGATTTTCAAATTATGCAAAAAAAGTGTTCATGTAAGGCAGTAGTTGAAGTTTAACTTGAAGTTTATACACAGGTGTCACATCAGAAAAATAAGATTAAAGGAGATGCATATGTGAATTGTTAACGCCATGCATGCTTGCTAGATTATAAAACATACAACTGCATTTTATGGCTAATAATTCTGATGGGCACCATGTGGTTGCATTTTTTTTTTAAACAGCATTCTTTCACAACAGAACAAAAGCAGAAGAAAGAGATAGATTAGAAAAATAAATGTTAGAGCTGTTTTCCATTTCAGACAGAAAAAATGGCTGTCTGCTCACACAGTATTCACCTAGTATTTTCAATTACAGCAAGTGGTTTATAAAGAGAGATTCTTTCTCTCTCCTGGTAACTTCCCTCCCTTCCCACATTGCTCAAGTCACTACTTGCAGTTGTAATTCGCTTGCACCTGCATTGAGGTTGCCTTCTGTCTGAAGCACGTCATAATCTGAATTATTCCTCTCACTACAGAAATCAGACGTGGCATAGGTTTACACTACAGTGCTATACAAATGAAGAACATGACATTTACGGTACAGACAATTTAAGGAGGCTGAATGATCTTAACAAGAGCCACGAACCTGTGAAATGGGAACACCCGAGATCACTACTCAGCCATACACAAATATGATTTATAAGTAACATGGAAATATATTTTCTTGCTTCAAGGGATGCAAAAAATGTACAGATATACTAAAGTGCTGTAGATTTACTTCCTACTGAGGAATGTTCTCAGATCAGATTACTATCAGATGTTTTCGTGACTAATCACATCTTTCATTTGCTCATCTCCAGCACTGCTATGCTCCCTCCGACCAGGAAGGGAGGAAGACAGCCGTCTCCCAACTCCTCAGCTGCTATGTTGTGACAAAGCCAGTGCAAGTTCTGACCTGGTCTGAACTTGCCTCTTCTGTGGAACCAGACTGCCCGGTGTCACTGGCATGCTCAGCACATCTACAGCCATACCCACTCACCTCTGTAAGAGTACCAAGATGCTCGGAAGAAGATTCTCATTCTGGGCACCAAACTTTGCTAATGCACTTACAGCAGCTAGAGAAGAAAACAGGGAGATGTCAGAGGTGCTCAAGCTATATGCTGTCACCGTTTAAGGCTGGGCCG